ACTGTGCGTACCTCCTTCTTGGTGCGCGGACAGAAGAAGTGTTCCTCGTGAACACCCTGAACAGCATGAACTGATGGATGCAGAAGATCTCGAGCGGTGGACATATCGCCGTAGTTGTTAGTGTCACTGACTCTCTTTATGCGCGGAGGCGGGAGGTCGGAGCGCACAGACGGGACTCCGTAGGCGCGGCTGTCTATGGAAAGAGAGACCACATGAATAAAGGATGTTAAGGTGATGGGAGCAGGCCTGTAATACTCTATCTCTGACTTACTTGATGTGAGCGGACCATCGCTGACAGCCCCAATGAGGGAGGAGGAGGTCACGAAGTGGTCTGGATCCGCCCTGAGTCGCCTCAGGGTCCTGACTGTCTTCTTAGAGCTTCCTGGCTCAACAGGCTCCAGGTCCTCGGGCTCAATCAACGCCGGAGATTCAGGAAGCTGCGCTGAGTCTGATGAAGACTTTCCCTCTGTGTTGGCTGGAGCTGTGCTGGTCTGACGCTCTGCAGGAGACAAATACATAGAAGATTTTATTTTTTTTTAAGCCTTTTATTGCTTAAAATACCAAAAAAATCACCTGAATGTGAAACAGAATGGATTTGGAAAAGCTTTTTCCAGTTTACCAGATTGATTACAACAAAATAAACTGACCGTTTGTCATAATGCGTTGCTCTCGACTGTTGATGGGCATCTTGTCCTTCCAGTTGAGGAAATTAGCAAATTCCACAAAGTTGATTAGTCCGTCCTTGTCTGTGTCACAGTGGTCCATCAGGTCATCCAGGACCGGCTCACTCACGCCCAGCTGGAACTGTCGGCACACTGCCCGCAGGTCCTCTTTGTCAATCATCCCCTTGCCGTTCTAGTGATTTAGATAAACAGATACACAGGAAAAGGCTCAACGACCGCTCTGTGGTTTTTACGAGTGTGAGACTGCGAGAGGAGAATTATAGTAGTATTGTTACTTAATCACATCTTAACACCGGTGTGTCACAACCCTGGCCTTATCTCGAACTCTTAAACTGGCTTGTCAAACACAAGTGTAACCAATAAGATGAACGAATGACTCCGGGCACTTAAAATGTCCACTGTGGGAAAGGACTGAGCTTGAATTTCTTTGATCACTCTTTGAAAAAAGGATTTGGGTGGAAATATCACTGTATTTTTCCGAGGTTACTTTAAACGTGATGAGTTAAATAGTCAGAAGATCGAAAGTGTAGGTCAGCAACGGGGTGTTGTGTCACCGAGCCTCGATTCCAGTCGTACTTTGTCGTAATGTCTGAACGCCTTCAGCAGGGAGGGGAAGTGGTGAAAGTTGACCTTCTTGAGGTGGTGTTGCACTGCGTTGACCAGACTGCGCTGGCGGTCTCGGCCTCTCACATACTGACCTGGCTCCGTGGAGTGGATTACTTCTCCAACCCCTGTGCAGGAAACAAGCACAATCTTTCTTTTTTCAGGAACATCTGCTGACACACGATCCCATATTTAACCCAGGAAAGACTTTTTTTTGTTGTTGCATAAACTCAAATAAACCAAACCAAATTTATCTGCCGTCAAGAGAATTCCAAAGGTGCGATCTGGAGGAACATTCAAGGTGTTTCCTCTCCTGAAAAGATGAGTTTATAACGAGAGGATGAAGTCAAACGTCAGTAAATTATAGTCAGAGTTCGCAGAATTGATCAGAAGATTAAAAACTTACTTAATGTTTGTTTTGCCAAGTTGCAATGCCATCTTTTCCCTGTTCCCAGATCTCTCCCAAACTGTATTTGGATTGTAAAACCTACAGCAAAATAATGTTTTGTTAGTTAAACACTGAATAAAGTTACCAATAAAACTTGTGCCGACTTACTGCAGCACTTACTTCTGTGTCTCCCCCAGCCAGTGGAGAGTTTTGCCAAGATTACGGCCATCGTTGAAATGAGGTGTGAGGATCCCAAACCTGTTGTCTTTACCGTAGTGACTCGAGTTGTACTTCCTGTCGATCTGCTCACCTGGAGCGAAGCCAGGTGATTTTATTGTTGTGATGGTTGGACGTCACATTTCAGAATAAAGATTGAGACAGTAACAGCCTTATACAGAATATGATTTGTTTCTATTCTTACCAACAAAATAGGCGTTGTGGCTACGAATGTAAGCCTCATGTCCCTCCTGAGCTTCCGTCTCCACCTCCTCTGATTTTTTTGAAGGGTTAATAATCTCACGCACATCCAACCCTGGAAAAAAAAAAAAAAAAAGGGAAGGATTGACTTTCTTTTATGAGAGTAGATAAATATTTGCATGTACAGCATTTGACCGTACACGTACCTCGAACCATTTTCACACCGTACGTCGTTTCGTCGTTACACCAGCTGGGAAGTGTGACACGCGGATCGTGTGACCTGCCCACCGGTGCTTTCCGACTGGAGGCGTACGCTGCTTCACTGAGGTCCTGTAACTTCTTCTGGAACAAGGTCTTTTGGGGAGGATTGACCAAGCTTTGACCCTGTTGGAATCAGAAATGAAGCACTTACATCCATATTCTGGGTGAAAGGCGAAAGCTATAAATCTCATCACCAAGGAGAGTAATAAATTATTAACCCACCAAATCTGGGGCAGTAAAAAAAACCCTCTTTATTGCCCCTTTAACCCACAAGGAGGTGTTTGTGTGCGCATGTGTGGTACTCACAGTGAGAGACGATTTGGTTCTGATGCCATGAACGAGGGTGCTGGCCACATCTGGATCGTTTGCCTTCCCCTGGTGGACTCTGATGGCTCCGGGTTCTGGTTGGATGCTGTTGCGGTATTTCCTCACCACAGGCGGGGTCGGAGGCTGAAAATGTTAAAATGTTGACATACGATATCAGAGAGAAAGAGAAAGAGAGAGAAAGAGAGAGAATTTTAAAAGCTGTCTGCTGCTTCTTTCTTTCTTTCTCTTTTTTATTTGTGAGTAACACAACAAAGTAAACTGACAAAC